CTCTGCACAAATTAGCAGGAGTGCAGTCTGGAACAGTTATTTTCATTAAGTGGCATAGCCAAATAAGAACACAGCCATTCTAATTAGGCTACCGCTTCATCCTTGGGTGCTGGCTGCTTCATTATTACTGGGTTTTGACCTTGCGACCGTTCACTCTGTATAGTGTAAATGCCAGTGTGACTCTTTATTTGGGTGGCACTGTGACTTGGTGAGTAGCACTGGTGCTGCATCATTCCAATGATGGGCCCATCACTGCATTCTATGTTTACATGCTCTCTACATGCCATCCAGTTTCTTTCTCCAGTCCAATGACACACAGAGTATCGGTGTCGGTGTGTGTGCGTTTTTGTAATTACTACATCGTGAGGACCATGTTTCCCCACAATATGAGAAAAACCTGTAACTTTTCACTGGGTTTGGCAGAAGAGCAATGAATTACTTTTGGTGAAAATGTGCATGTCGACCCCTAGTGTAACGCAAAATTACTGACCGAGCTCAGGCGTGTATTTAATTTCATTCATTCAGGTGTAATTCATATTCTATTGTTTAATATTTTGCTTGTTTCTTGATATATTCATGTTATGTCAGCAAATCTGCGAATGAATAAATTGCCCTGAAACTGTTATGCATTGATCCTGGACAATAGAGAACCGGACTCCTGAAGTTCATGGACCGAGACGGTCCACAAAGAAACCACTCAACCCTCAGAGGCTTCACTTCTAATTCAAGTGTGTTGAATTGTTTGCCATGAAAAGACTAATTTTTTTGTATATAAACGGGCCAGGTGTGGCACCAATGAGGCCAAACGGCCCAGTGCTGCACTGCTCTACAGTCATGGTGAAAAATATGTCACATGATGTCACAAAAGATATTGCCTCATTAGTCAAATCTTTTTATTGTCTTATCCGGTCAGTCTCTAGTGTTTAACACTGAGCCAGCAGCTAAATGATCTGTAACGCATCTTTTGCGTAATGAATGTTTTACAAATAGTAATGGCACAACACTAGAGTCAGCGTGGCCTCCTGATTTCGCCATCAGTTAGAGCAAATCAGCAGTTTTTATAGCTGGATGCCTTGCAGGACCAGTTGTTTCTTCGGGCTACGAGGACCCTACCTGCATATTCTGGCTAGAAGGACCCTACCTGCATATTCTGGCTAGAAGGACCCTACCTGCATATTCTGGCTAGAAGTTCCCTACCTGTACATTCTGGCTAGGAGTTCCCTAC